GTTTCTGAAACTTCTCTATCAACAAGTTTTCGCAATTTGCCTTTAATTATTGTGATGCCAGATTTATTTTTGTTCTTAGTGCTATATGTCGGGATATTTGTGGTGGAGATACATAAACAGTTTCGCTTGTATCTATTATAGAAAGATAATTATATATGATTGAAAAACATCATTTGTGATTATTGAGTCTGCTCGTTGCAAACTTTGATGTTTAGAGAAACTTAATTCTGTCTCGTCTCTTTGTATTTGGTGCTTTTTGGAAATCTGGCGTTAGAAGTTCAATGATGAATATACAGTTTTGTGGGGTTATTTTACACATGCTTGATAGTTAATACTCTTGTATTTGCCTTTTTATTGTTACCTCTGGGAATTTTGTAGGCATGGGCTACTAATTTGTTGAAATAAAATTAAGATGAGAATGTGACAAAGTTGTATTTGACCGCTTGATGGGTCACTGATGGTAATTATGACAAATGGTAGAATAGACTTTTTCTCGAAGTTATCGTCGTAATGAATCATTTTTTATGTGATATAACGGTTAATAAGTAACTTTCAATTTGCCACAGAGATTGATTCCAAGTGTATGTTTGTACTGGTTTTCTGCTTTAATTGTTTTTTAGTGTACGTTTTCTTTTTAATGCTGATGCTGCTGTTGCTTCTGAATCGGAAAGAAGTCGTTGTTCCTTTTGATGTAATGGTTGTTTTTTTCTCGTTTTTTGAGGTCTTCGAGACTTTGCATGATTGCTGTATCGGATTTGAAAATTGCGTTTCGCTTCTCAAAAAAAATGCTTTAACAAAATATGTTTTTGTTTTCAGATAATCGTCTTCCTTCTTGTTTTATTTTTGATTTGATATATCCTATATTTTGTTTTTGTGGTGATATAAAAAGATCGTATCTAGAGTTTTGATTTAGACAATTATGTAAAATATATTGTTTGTTTGCTTAACTATTTTTTGACATAAGTGTTAGGATGAGTGATGCAAAATCCAGGTTTTATTTAAAATCCCTATTTCCTAAAAAAAACTGTTAGTTCTTACTCTCTTTTTGTGAGATTATCCTAAATTCTCGGGTCGCTTTTTCGTGGCACGACGGGTTAGGGAGAGAGTATTTTAAACATTTAAGTCATCTTAATCTTGCCTAAGTGGGGATCGATATTAGATCGAGGGTTAGAGAACAGTAACTCAATCAACAAGAATCGTTAGATACTATTTAAGGGCTTGCTAGTCCTAAGTGTTTTTTTTCTAATCCCAAGGGGACCAATAAAAGGAAGGGTCAAGTGAAGTATGAGTAACCGAAGTTCAAATTATTGCTCAAATTAATTAAAATGGTATCTGAGAAAATATATTTGAGACAAAAATTTCACTAATTCTTGGGTCGTTTGTAAATTTTGGAGAATGAATCAACGTTTGAGCTCGTTAGACACTTGTTCTAAAAAGTAGGATTTGAATGAGAGAGGAACAATTTGGTGATCTGGTTCCAAGGAAAGCATTGATGATCAGAGGCTCAGAGAAAATTTTTTGAAAAGAATTACGACTAAAGATCCAAGGGGAAGCTTTGATGTTCTGATTTAAAGTTTAAAGTTAAAAGTTTAAAAATTCAAAAATAAAATCAAGGAGAAGCCTTGATTATTAAAAATTTGAAATAATTTTAAAATTCTTAGAGACCCAAGAAAAGGTTTGATGATCTTGTTTTTGATTGAAATAGATAATTAAACACTCTTGATTGTTTTAGGAAAAATATAAAAAACGATCATCCTCGAGAAGCAAAGAAGTTTTGTGACACTAACAAAATTTAAAAGTTTCACTAACTTTGTTTAATTGTTTGTATCTGTGTTGAATTGATAAATTTATAAAACGTATGTTTTTTCAGAACAATCAAGTCTGATTTCAAATTTGAAGCTAGGCAAAGTTTTTGTCGACGTTTTGTTGTTTTATAAATATATTGTTAGCTTTGTTATTTAATTTAAAATATCTCCATTGGATACATTTAGGGCTCTAATTTTGTTTGATGCAGCTTATATAATAGCTAAATAATAATTTTATCGCACAATTAGGTTTGAGTTTTTGTCGTCGTCTGTGTTTTTGCTTTGCGATGCAGGTATTTGATTTATCATCTTTGTTGTGATCTGGTTTTGTCTTTAGTATTCGCTCGGCTTGATTAGACTTAATGATACGTGGAAATAAGCTAAATTTTTCTACTGATTTCTAAGATCAATTCTTAGTTTTTTTGCTAATTCTAGGTTTTTGCTACATCTAAATTAGTATTGGTCTGCACAAGACTCGTTGGTCGCACCAAATGTGTTTAGATACGGGTTGGCTTTCTCATAGAGTAAATTCAGATAAGGTAAGCCGTTTCTTCGTCGTTGCTATCTTATTTTCGGCCGGATAGATTCGTGCAACTTCTTAGTCTAATACCAATCTTAATCTTACTCTTATATCTCCTAGTCTCAATAGATCTAGCTTATACTGGTATTCTCGCTGGAAGAGAAAGAGGCAACTGATTTCTAATTCGATTTAATTTTTCTCTGGCTGAAACTTTGAACAGTTTCAGTCTTACAATTTATCATAAATTTTAGTATTGGATCATGTTTGACTAGTTCTAAAAACTTTACAGTGATAAAAAAAAGTCATTCGAACTGGTTCTAACTGGTTGGTTGCAAACTGCTGCTTGAAACGAGATCGAGTCAAACATTTTGTTCATTGGTTTTCATCAAAAGGTTCAAATTATATTTTTGATCACAAGTAACCATATTTAATGAATTTATGCTATCAAATTTGATGCATAAAAGTTGCTGAGTCCTCAAGTCTTTCAATCTAACAATTATTAAATTTAGGCTATTTCTAAGATGGTTGTTCTCATCGATTACAATGAAAGATGATGATACTGCATTGTTCGTTCGGTTAGTGTGGTTCTACTAATTTTTCCAACAATTACAGCTAGTGATCTATTTTTCTGACAGAGTTCTTCAGGGCTGAAGGGCGGAGCAGCCTAGTCGAGTCTGATACCTGATGTGGAGGTGTATGTGGGGCTGAATTGATGTTTTAACGCCACATGGGGAGTCGGTTGATCTGTAGTTTTGCTTCATGTACTTCTCATAGAGTAACTTCAGATGAGGTAAGCCGTCTGCTCGCTACGCTATTTTATTTTTGGCCGGATAGGTTTGTGCAGCTTCTTGGTCCAATCCGATCCTAATCTTACTCCTATATTTCCTAGACTCAATAAATCTAGTATATACTGGTATTCTCGCGAGGTTAGAGAAGAGAAAGAGGCAACTGATTTCTAAATTGAATTATTTTTCTCTGGCATGAATAGTATATACTGAATAGTTTCAGGCAACTGATTTCTAAAATGAATAGTTTCAGTATTATAAATTATCATAATCTTTAGTAATGGAACATGTTTGGCTAGTTCTAAAAACTTTACAGTGATAAATTTCAAAGTGTGTAAAAAAATTTATTAGCAGTGGTTTCAACTGGTTGGTTGTAAACTGCTGCTTGAAACGAGATTGAGTCAAACATCTTGTTCATTGGTTTCCAACGAACGGCTTAAATCACAATTTTGATCACAAGTAACCTTGCTTAGGGATTTTATGCTTTCAAATTTGATGCATTAAAGTAGCTGTCCTCAAGCATTTCAATCTAAGAATTTGCAAGTCCCAGCTATTTCTATGGTGGTTGTTCTCATCGATGACCTTGATTGATAATGATACTGCATTGCTCGTTATTGTGTGGTTCTACTGATTTTTTTCAACAGTTACTCCTAGTGACCAATTTTTCTGACAGATATCTTAACGACTGAAGGGCGGAGCAGCCTAGTCGAGTCTGATGCCTGATTTTGAGGTGTATGTGGGGCTGAGTTAATGTTTTAACGCCACGTGGGGAGTTGGTTGATCTCTAGTTTCGCTTCATATACGGTTGGTTACATAAAGGTTACAAAAATATATATAATTATTTTATTAAATATTTTTGTAACCTTTACGTATTCAACCGTACATGAAGCAAAACTAGAGATCAACCAAATAAGCAATGGCCTGTTAAAATTAAAAGAATACCGATAATACTCTCAATGCTTTGACTGATGGAGAGCCTCTCAGTTTAAATCTATACAACAAGATATTTATTTAATTAAAAACGTCACTAGTCTAAATCAGGCTCAAAAAACGGTCATTTTTTGAAAAATACAGCCATTTTTTTAATAAACCTTAGAAAACTGTTAAAAAATAAAAAAAAAAACGCTCAAAAAGTAGCAAAATACTCAGTCAATTTCCGCTTGAATTTGGCGCGAAAAGATTTTTTCCAAATCAGAGAAAAGAAACAAGAGGGGTGGTTATATTAGGCGAAAAATATATTCGGGGAAAATTTCATTAAAAAGTGAACAGTTTAGCAGAAACCGTATATGTGCTTAATTACGTCATACACTTGCTTCATACTACATACACGTAATTTTGTTCAAACAGCTAATCAACCGTAAAATAGTGACCGCTGCAGTCGCGCTATTGTGTTGCGAACTTGCTAACAGCCCGTACCCCGGGGATTTTCTGCGCAAGATCTGAAATTCTTTATTTCTTACATACGTTGATTCTCAGATCTGAAATTAGATCTGAAATAGATTTTTTCAGATCTGAAATAACCAAGAAAAAGAAAATTTCAGACCTGAAATTAGATCTGAAATAACCAATCCTTAAAGTATCCAAGCGTTATTTAAACATTTCACAACCTATTTCAGATCTGAAATTTAGATCTGAAAAAGATTATTTCAGATCTGTTTTAGAAAATTTACTGGGTACGGGAGAGCTTAGGGTACGGGAGAGCGTTTAGAAAAAATTGAGCCATCGCCGCCAAACGACGACCATGAACCTACAAACGGTTCTGTAGTCTTTAACCCCTTCTTGTCAATGTCGTTTGGAAAAATAATAAGGGGGTTTCTGATGAAATATTCACTTTCCTAATCAAAATTTAAACACTTTGGCCTAATGTAAACACTTTTATTTTAGCCTAATATATTTTTCGCCTTAAATATACAGCCCCGAAGCAAGGATTACTTTAGCTATTCAAAGTCAGGTTAGTTCCATTGCAGATCCATTCCTGCTCTATGCAAATAACATTCTTCTTGAACCAGCTGAAGGTCAAGTAAGCACCAACGTTATTGTACGAAATCCGCTCCGTCCATTGATTGCCAATCTGTCGCTTTTTCCTTTTTCATAATTTTGTACCGGCTGTCAAAAGAAAACGACGGAACAATTGAGCTGCGCTTTAGTAGTATTTTTTCAAAATTTACTTTTATACCGAGCAAAAATATGGGAAGTTTCGATTAATTTACTGTTATTGAATTGACCAAGTTACCAGTATTCAAATCTTCGAATAAGCTTTACGAATAATCAGTAGCAGGATTAGAGTGGCATCGCCCCCCCCCCTCAGAATTCGACCCCGTGCCGACCTTAAGGGTCCCCTGTGTTATAATTTGAGATGTTTTTTTTTGGCTGACTGACCCTGAAAATTTTCTCATATTCTGAAAAATCCCTCAGCTCCAATATATACTAGTTTTGAGGGGGAAACGTAGATCAAAAAACGCAGATCAAGAAAAGTCTAGATCAGCCCATGCGCCTGATTCATTTGAAAAACTACATTAAAACTATTTTTAATTGAGCTCAAAATGAAAAAAGTATATCACCTGTGACATATTATTTGAAAAGTTTTGAGGATGTGAGAGTTTGTAACTTCCAGAACAGTAAATTGCTCAAAGTTTCCAATTTTTATTAAAGCGTAAAATAAGAATTGAAAACGTTCAAAATTGAATTGATTCAAAAATTTGAGTAAAAAACGCAAAATTATCATTTTAAATTAAAATAGAGCACAAGTTTTTACAGAAAATAAAAAAAATCAACTTTCACGTTTTTTTTGAAAAAATTTATCTTTAATTGCTATAACACTACACCATATGAAAACATGTGCAGTCGGACCATTTTTGATTTTGCACTGGTCCGAGCACAAACATCTAGCTTTACGTTATAGTTCACAACTATATTCTTCTAATTGATGTCAAAATGTTGGTTATATACCCTTTGATCATCGAATCTGCACAGAAAAAGTATGATTTGAACGTCCAAAATTAATCGAAAATCAGCTCGTAAGACATTGTGGAAAAGCTATTTTCCCAAAAAAAAGTATTTTGTTCAAATAAATTGCTCGAGGTCACACATTATTTGCTCATCTTGTCAATTAAATGTCATTAACTATGGCTAGCTTTTTGCTGGACAGACAGAATTGATTAAAAAAGTAGTAAAACAATTTCGAACAAAAAAAATCATGTTACATTGATACATCACCCAAACATGGTTTCGATTAAGATAATTGAATGAATTAAACAAAAATTCGAAAATTAGTTTAAGGATTCTACAAGTTTGTTTTTAGTCAAAGATTTTGTTTTTTATATAGAAAAGTTCCAATTTTTGGCTATGAATAATAATTTTTTCTCAGATACAAAATTCTGGAAGTTTTACCCTTCTAGAAATTGTGCTGTGTAAAGGGCTTCTTTTGATACAATTTTCTCACCAATTAACTAATTTTTGTGCTATAGCTTTATTTTCTTCCTCTTAAAGTTCAATCTAACTAAGAAAAAAAATCTATCGTTCAACCTAGAAACTCATTTTTTTAGGTTTTGGGACTAAAGTATGAGAAAAAAGAAAAGGAGAAAACGAGCAGGTGGGACCTTCAATAGGTACGGGTATCCTTTTCTGTGATGATGCCCCAACACGCGCATCCCTCCTTTCCCAAAACCCAGGCGGGCGATGATGTTGACTTGACAGATGGGGTAGAAAAAAGACCAGATATAGTTCAATTGTTTGTTTTCGTCACTATAGTCGGTTAAATGGAACACGTATTCTTTAGGTGTCATCGCCATATGAAGGAAACCTATGCATAAATGGACGTTTTTTGACTCCCTGCGGACTTTTGAAACTTTTTTATATAGTTATTTAACGTGTTATTATGGCAAAATGCGTAAAATTTTTGTATCAATTATGAAAAAGAAGTATGTTTACAATAGTTTGCTTGTTAGTATCTCAACGTTAATATTAGTTTAGTTTCAATTTTGAAAATCAATTGTGGGGGGGAGGAGTGGTAAAAGGGCTCATAATTGGACCAATGTAATCGGTTTAGGAGAAAGGATATTTAAATTTGGTTCAAAGTCTAAGGTTTCACCCAATTATTAACTTTTTAGTCAACCAAACAGTGGCCTAACCCGGATGTTAATTATTTGAAGTTAACTAAGCTATGGGAATCTTACATGAGCTAACTTTGTAAACTGCAGCTCATGTGCAATTTGAACCCGCAATCATATCATTGCTGGGCACCATCATTACCGATTTAAGTGTTTTGAAACTAACTCATTGAGAGGGTCGGATGTTATATTTCAGAAAAGTGATAGAAAATCTAATAAAATGGATTTTCATGGTCTAAAATATTGTCAGTGTATTTGATTTCCATGTAACGCTCTGACAACAAAAGTCGACTAAAAATGATTTTAGTCTATTTTTTTCACGCAAAAACTTAATGAATTATATTTCATTTGAAATCCATTATAATGGATTATGTAATAAGTAAAAAATCACATTAAAATGTTTTTTTTTCTCACTTTATTTTTGTTTAGTTTCATGCAGAATTCTGCAAGAAGTTCTGCAATTATTAAATGAGTAATGCGGAAATGCTGCAAAGCAAGTGTACGGCCTGCAACATTTCTAAAGCTAAAGTTACTCAAATTACAAAACGATTCTGTCAACTTCCCCCCCCCCCCTTACCGGCCAGAACCAACCCCCTCATCCACCCGAGTTTGGACTGGGGTCTGGCGAGGGGGGTTGGTTCAGGCGTGGTTGGGTCAGTTTGGGTGGGGGGGGGAGGAGTTTTTCATAAATCTACGAAACCCTAACAAAAGTAACCGTAACATTAACAAAAATCTAAGTTGGGCTGAAAAAATTTGAAACTGAACAAGAAATAGCCAAATTTAATTTATAATGTAGAACAAACTTTATGTGCGTTGAAATTCGAATCTAAAGAAAATGAAAAAAAACATCGATTACAATGGAAATTATCAGTAATTGTCATTATCTGTAAACGAGAAAAATAATCAATTATATGGGATTTGCAATGGATTTCATTGCTTTAAATAATAATTGCAATTTAATAACTTAATCCAATTGTAATTGGTTGTTATCGATTATTCTTCGCTATTACAAACACTGATAAAAAACTTAAAATCAATCGTTTTCTATCCATGGAACTCCAGTGTGGGATGGTGTCCTAGCTCTTTTTCATTTCCCTCTTATAGATTTTCTCATATTCAATTTACAAAAGCCTTCTTACATTTTTTTTGATGTTTTAAGACTAATTTTACAAGAGAGTGGGAAACTTAAAAAAAAAACATGAAGTCAAGTTGATGCGCAAAATGAACGTGCAAAATCGTTAGCAATCTTTTTAGCGTGATTTTTAACGGTTGGCAAAAAAAATCGCCTAATGTAGCGAGCCATTCTATTAAGTCATATTACATCTGTGAATGGCTGATAACTTGATCCAAATTATGTTCATTCCAACCTGTTTTGTAGTATACGTTGAACTGACCCGGACAACAGCCATCGAATTGTCCAACGTAGTGATTGTGTTTGTGAAAAATAGGTCGGAGGTGGTGCGATATTTCCGCGAGGGCATAATTCTGCAAATTAACTGTCATTCTTCGAAATTGTTGAAATGTTGAGACTTCAATTGGTACAAAATGGCATGTTTACTGCTTCATTTTTGTTCCGACCAATTCAAGGAAAGGGAAACACTATTGCATATGGTGCTTTTTTCTCTTCTCAGCTTTGACTACCTCACGAAAAAACTCTTAAGGTGGCAAAGGTAGTATCATATTAAAACCCCTCTGTCCGTGATTTCAATTCTGCAAAAAATGAAAAAGATATCTTATCTCAATGTCAAGAATTATTGGTCAGAATTTTTCAAAAGTTCCAAACCTCATGAAACTATAACTCAGTTTTCAAACTCAATTTGATGACGATCATTTCAAGTATACTGCAACTTCTACGTTTGTATAGGAGCATTTTCTCGTTCTGCATTTTTCATCATTTTGAGGCCAAACTGTGCATTTCGTGGATTAATAGCGGATTCGGAAACATCCTGAAAACAGAATTGTCGCAACATCCGCTATTTTTGCTGGCAAAATTTACGTTCCAGTTATTTTTATCCACAGAATTTTTGCAAGTGAAAGCCACACTTTGGAACATGCTTGAAGACTTATCCTTGAATTCCAGTGACCCACAGACACCAAGTTGTGCGTCTATCCAGAACACAATTTGGTCTCATAATGATTTTAATTAACTTTCAATTTTGACAAAAGAAATTAATTATTAATTGAAAGTAATTTTTATTTAGGAAAAAAACTTTCCGTTATGCTTGAATTTATTCAACTGAATCATGGTAATCTCATCATTCTATGCTACTTGCCCACCACGCAGCAAGTCTTCGCGAAAAATTACATGGATTCAACTAAGATCACATTCAAGATCAAAATCACATTCACTGACAGAAACTTCTATAGTCAATTGAAAATTTAGACTTGTGACGGATTTTACTAAATATTTTTATCTGTTTTTTAAGTCCCAATAATCAGCTGTCTGATTTTTTAAATCAATGATCGTTCTGGTCGGTCGATAGTGAAATTATTTCGATTGTGGATTACTTTGAATTTATCTCAATAGGCAACCAATAGCCAAAAGTCACTGCTTGCTTATAACATCATTTTGTTCTAATTTGAAAAATCTAAATGACAATTGGTTGCAGGCGAAAAAATATGGCGTTTTCTTTTTTTGATTTACTGAAAGCCAACATCGGAATTAGTATTTTCTCTGAATAGTGAGTTAGGACCGATGTGGTTAACTCATAGAGTAATTTCGGATAGGGTACACCGTCTGCTCGTCACGCTATCTTATTTTCGGCCGGATAGATTCGTGCAACTTCTTAGTCTAATACCGATCCTAATCTTACTCTTATACTTTCTAGTCTCAGGGTGTTTAACTAGTCTCTGCTAGGCTGAATAGATCTAGGGTATACTGGTTTGTTGCGGCGGCTGAAGTTCTCTTGGAGAGGCAACTAATTTCTAAGTTAAATTCAAATCTCTCTGGTGCTGAAATTACAAGTAATTTCAGCAATTACAAATAAGTGGGTTGTTAGTTAGATGGATCATGATTGGTTAATATTAAGTACTTTACAGTGGTAAAATATCTAATTTGTCCAATCATAAAATGTAGTTTGGATCAGGTTCCACCCATCCGGGTTTTACAGAGTTTTTTAGAATTATCTTTCTGCAATTCAAAGGATGGATGATGAACGTTGGTATTGGGCGAACATCGTATTCTTGTCCGGTTCCTCTTGTTAGAGAAGTTCCAGGACGCTGGAGTTTGGGGCATTAATCGTTGTGTCTTCTTGTGACAACGACTGTGTTTCCCAACGAAATCAATCTGATTTCAAAATGGTTTGCTATGACGGGTTTTTCTGTATTATGTAGAGAACTTGTTTTGTGTTCAACCTCGTCTGGGAATGGCGTGGAGATTGTGCGTGGAGGGGATGCCTTGTAACTCGGATCTGTACGTATACTTGAACATCGAGGTGATAATTGGTCTAGTTCAATGAAGTCCTTTTCTGCGAAGTCAAGTCGTACTCTAAATCCTTTGAGTTGTGATTGATTGTGGACGGCATATCGGTTGTGGTTAGCCATTCTTGTTCGAGTGTAGTGGGGTCATTTTGTTTTTGGATGTTCATCTTTGTTGTTTTGTGCTGATCTATATACTGCAAGGTATAATTTACCTTGTATAAAATTTTTATTAGTTCAGTTTTTTAATTATGAATTTAGTTAGTTGTTTTCACAAAAGCATTTTGTTTTAGTTCGGTTATTTTGAAGAGTTACTCACCCTTGAGTACCTCTTATTAAAAATAGAAGTGTGGTCACAAAGCGTGGATGTAGCACGGTAGGTTAGGCCGGCTATAGAGCATGATCAGGACGTCCTCTCTGGTGGGTTAGGCCAGGAGTGGGAGTATGATTTCGTGCGGTTTCTTTGAGAGGTCCTGTTATGTGATAACGTTTTATGTTGGGTTTATGTTGGTCTTTCTTATGTTCCTTTGGTTGTGTCTTTTTTTCAAAAATCAAATTGTTTTTGTTATGGGTTTGTCTTTCGACTTTTTTGTGTTTTATTATTTCTTTCTTAGACTTTATAATAGTCTTCAGAAGAATAAATTATCCAGTTTTAAACTGGGTTAATCCGGTTTGGGTACCATTGGTTTTCTTTTCTTAGTCATGCTGTTATTTTATGGTTTGTGGTGTTTAGTAAGCTGCGTTGGTTAGTTTGTTTTAGTATATAATTCCTTTCCAACCGGGTTAAAGGAAAGTTTGAAACTTGTTATCGTGTGTTAGAGTTGTTGAGTGTGAAAACTTGAAACTGAAATTCATTATTTAAACAATTCTTTGTGGGCGAGCTGTGCGAGTTTGGATAGAATTCTTGTGCGAGTGAATGAAAATATCAAAAGGTTAGTATTGCATTTTTATTTTATTAATTTATTACATAGAATTTCAATTTTACTGCTAGTTTTGGGGGAAATTTAAAGTTATAAATTTTCATCATATTTAGATTTACTGCTTTACGGGGGAATAATTTATAAATTAATTTACTACATGTTGTATAAATTTTATCAGATTATTTTGTGAAAATATTAATGAAGTTTAGAATAATTTTAGCAAGTTTTTATTTTTTATTTTTCTTTTCTGTTTTTTGCAGATGATCGTGGTATGAAGACTAAAAATCTAAAAGAAACATGAGTAAAGAATGGTTAGTGTTACTTTAAATTTATTAGTAAAGAATATTTGAAATTATACTTACCTGTTAATCGTCTGGGAAAAAACCGTGGGGGAAGATGTCGTGTATCATGTCGGAATTTGTTAGTAACTTTGCTAGTATGCGAATGATGTTTTAAGTTTGAAGCAGTGGCCAAAGCAATTGAAGTGCTTTAATAGTTTTTAGTTCTTCGGTGCCAACTGCAAACTCATAAGGTGTGTTTTGAATGAGATTATAATTTTGTGATTGTATTTAGTATTATGAATAAATTCTAATATAGGGATTTCTATAGGTTGGATAAATCCATGTGGGATAAGGAAGGGTCTGGATTCTTCAGCATTAAAGGTCTTCGTGATGGGACAAAATATATACATCTGTGTCATTGGGTCATAATTGCGGAGGATGCCGTGGAGGTTAGTATCTTTGATGCAATAGGTGAAATTTAGAAAAAATGGTGAGGTGTACTTCGAGTTAAGAAACTGAAAACGATGATGTGGTTGTCTTGATGGAGTATGTAGATCAAAATGATTTTGTATGAAGCGATAGTATGTATATCTGTGAGTTTGTTTAGTGCGTAACATGATGTCATGTGAACAGTGCAAATCGCGTTCATGTGGTGCAAGGAAGTGAAAGGTTAGTGAAAAGAATTGAAATTTTTCTTTAAAACTTTCGTAAGCTTGCATATCAGTTAGTGCTTCAGAAATGATGTTATCATATTTTCTATCGAAAATATTGAGTGTGAATACATATGATGTTTTTATGAAGAATTTTTCTGTTAGTTGTGGGTTAGCGAAGCGGTCGTCATCTAAAAATTGGTCTTGATTAGTTCGGATGATATTATGGTCGTAATATTCTATTGTAAATTCGTTAGCTCGGGGTGCAGTGAATGTTTTTAGTGATTTTTTATATCCTATATAAGTAAATTGTCTAGGTGTTAGTGTTGCGGTGAGTCTATATAGCATATCTTTATGCTTTTCTATATCGCTATGAGTATTAGATAGTGGGAGGCAAAGGGGATTAGTAAAATGATAATATGTTGTCCAATGAAGTGTAGGCATTAAAACATGTTCATCTACAAAACTACGTGTGTCGTTAGTGTCATTAGGTGTGTTTAAAGTATATTGTGGAAATGAAGGTAAGGTGATTGCTAGAAAATCTTTCGTGTTGGTGTGGTGTGGATGATTAGTATATTCACGGGCTGTTCCTGGTTTGGTCGGGAATGGATGGTTTGGGAATTTTCTTTTTTAAAGTGCGATAAGCTCGGTTAGTGCTATTTGATGATTCGGTGGATGTTGATGATTGTGCTAATGATGCAGTATAGGCTGAGGAGGGTGTAGGAGTAGGTGGGTTTGAGGATTCTATTGTGGATGAAATTTGATTGATTGTGAGGGTGTTAGGGTGTATTAGCTGTTGTTGTAGGGTGATAAAATTATCAAGTTCTTGGGAAATTTGGGGAGTATCGGGAGAATTAGATGATCGGTCGGAATGAAATGGAGAATAGGTTGGGGTTACTTGTGAAGCATAAGAGGGAGTAGAAATGGGCGGGAGTGGATTATTTGTTGGGATTGGTTGAAAAGGGGGCTTTGAAAAAACTGAGGAGTTGGTTTGAAAATTATTGGATGGAGATGGTTCGGAGTCTGCAAATTCGTCAGGGGTTCCAAATTCGGGTTATTTAGTTGTGAAATGGAGTATAAAACTGAAATATCTGAATTAGTGTCTGAATTCATGCTTGATGTTATATTACTATTTGGAAAATCGGGTGGTGGGAAAGCAAAAAGTGGAATTATTGTAATTGGAGTGTTGAGGTTGGTTGGGTGGGAATTTGAGCGGTGCAGGGATCCAAGTTGTCGGCTCATCGTGGGCTAAAAAAATTAT